TTTGATGGTTGCAGGTGTACTGTGGTTGTAAGATTACTCTTTCGTTCAGGCCACTTCATTTATAAAGGCCCAATGATGTGTTCGCTAGGCACTTTGTTTAAGTGCACCAAAGTCGACGCGCGTTACGAGGTCGTGTTTAAATGAGATTTCGGAAATGCCCCAGGCACCGCAAATGTTGCACCCAATTTAGTTCACAAAACACAATGTGGTCATGTGAAATCACGAAAATTTATCTCCATGACCTTTGAATCTTTTTTCTAATTTTGCTTACTTTTTGACATTTAAAGGCAGTTTTCACCAGTCATCGTGATTTTAATCAAACTTCTAGGTTCAGTGAAAACAAAAAACGTTAATTAGAGGAGGAATCGGGCAACTTCCAAATGCCCATTAATCGACGTTTGGAGCTCCATTGGGTCAATAGATGAGATATGTAGAAGATCTAAATACACCGAATGCATACACGCCTAATTAGATGAGACTTTACGCTAAAACAGATAAAGCACAGAAAAACAACCAAAGTAAACCAATCAAAGTGCACCTTTGGCTGCGGTTCACCATGGAGATTCAGCCGCATTACACAACTACCTCCCGTGGAGTGTAAATTTACGAATAGGTGAATGAGTTGCTGCTTTAGCCATGGATTTTGATTATAAAAATGCAAATAAGTTTATGACAGCACACCGCCTGTCAAGCGAAAACTTGTGAGCAGATAAAGAATTTGGGATGGACAAGAAAAAGCAATCTTTTCTTTGAGCTGTGCTGCAAAGGTTAACAAGAAGGCATGAGTGATGGAATTACAGCTATAGGCATTCACGACGTTTATTCGGATCGCGATCCTTGCCTTGGACGATACTTCTCTCTAAGCGACCTTCCGCCAATGACAAAGATTCTACCCCAGGGGTTACCACGGAAGAGATTGCTGAGGAAACACGCCTTGACTATCCACCTGCATTTCGCCATTTACAGCAACGTTGAAGTACCTCTGGTTTCGACAGAACAAAACTAACTGAGGCGTGCTTACACAAACATTTTTGGTCCATGTTCATCAACAAAGCAAACCTTTAATGGGACTAAATGTGGTCTGTGTGCAGCAAGGTAGCAGGTAAAATGTGATGGAAGCATGGAAGTGAAAGAGCAGAATCGGAGGTTTCAGGCGAATAGTCGTGTTTGAGGTCATTCAATGATTGTGGAGAGGTACTACGTGTAATTCGGACATAACTCATTGAATAAAATTCAAGCATGGTGTCCGAATCGGGTCAAACGTGAAGGCTCCTAAGTCCACCACGACAGCGCCACTTCACGGCGCATCGCTCAATACAGCCCACAGAAGAACTTGCAGTATCCATGGGGTGTATAAAACATGTGGCAGCCCTCTGTCAGCTAGTTACAACTTGACACTGGCGATGGAAATTTGAACGAACGCACAAGTTTTTTTTTTACCGGAAATGCTTAGCGTCTTGCTCAAGTAAACTTACGCCTTGTCACCTTCTTCTTGCAAGACGGTTAGCAAAGTGATCAGTAGACTTTTTTGTGCCGTCAAATGTTTTGACACAGCGCGAAACAAAAAAGGGAACATTAGAGAGCATGTTGATTTTTGTGGAAAAATGCCAACGCCTACAAATGTCCTAGCTGCTTTTTTGGCTTGACTTAAATGAAGCAGAACGACGGTACTTGCACACGTGAAAGTTCAACAATGACAGCAACAGGAGAGACGGTTTCTGAATGTGGAAATTATGTCGGAAAATAAGTCCGGTTAGTACTACAGAAAGCGGAATAGCGAAGTGGGATGACAAGGGCCGACATACGCTTGCCATTATTGTGACTGTCTACTTAACCAATAATCATCGTAACCTCTAGTTTGGGTAGGTTAGTTTGCACGCTACGAACGAGATCGCCCACACAAACCGGGCTGCATTTGGGGATGCCAAAATCGGCCAAAAGGGATCAAGTTTAATGGTACGAAAACTCGATTACGTGTAATCCAATTACCCCAGCCAGTCAATTCGACTCAATTTCAATACGCCTTTAGTGCTACTGTGGGTTAAAAAGTACCGTCATAGCAACAGTTTGGATCACTTTGATAGCTCGTGAGTCTGGGGAATATAATTCTGAGAGTATTTTTGACAATAGAAGCACACAAACACAACGAAAGCATGGCAACGACTTCGTCTGGTACAACCAAGCGGTCATGTCCATCAAAGCGTCAGTGCACTAAAAGCATGCGACACTGATGGCCAGTGACTGTGTGAAGCGAAACAAATGAGTCATCAAACGAGTTTGTCTTGGCAACGCAAGTTGCATCCTACGCTTTGCGCTGTTTGTAATCAACACAGGTGTCTACGACAACCAACGTTGTTCCGTACCAACAAGTCACAGTTTTTATTTGTCAATGCATTTAAAGTGCAGACATAATGTAGCATTGAGTCGTGATTTTTCCGTTGTTTTAATTCTGCTTTTTCCTGCGCGCCGCTCACAATTACGTCACTGGACGAGCTGTGTTATTTGCATTTGAGGTGGAAAGAAAGCGGTGGGGATCCATTGTTATTTGCAAACGTTTAATAACTAGCATTTGGCGTATGCGTTGCCACACATTCCGCATCGCCTTTTTTGTGGTTGAAGCGTTGATTGTGCAAGAAAGCTCTGACGTTTTTAATAGTCATCGGGCACTGACCAGAACAATAATAAAAAGGGCCATTTAATCGAAGCGGTCATTTACGTGACTTTTTAAGCCCTCATTAGCGGCATCAGCGCCATTTCCAACGAGAAAGCAGCAAGTCTAACTAGAATCCACCAATCAGAGCGAAGGTTCAGTGAGTTACGATCATACGATTTTTCGGTTAACTGACTCCCACTAAAATTGGATCAAATGCCATCAAATTATGAAAATCCACCAGTCAGAGGACGGATTCCGGACGTGCCCCTGATAGGCACAAAATTTGCATACGGTTGCACGTGCTGAGACCCGAAGGTAATTATACCCCTAGCATTTACGAATGTAAATGAAGCCTTTGTTTATGAAATACGCATTGTCTCTTTCTAACCAATTGCTTTATCACCGTTGATACCTAACCTTAAACCGGATGAAAAACCGGATGAAAGATCAAAGGATTCAAAGTCGATGGGCCCACGGTGGAAAGATCTTCAATGAGATGTTCGTGCAAGTAAAGGTAGACTTTACAAGCGTTCCTGGCTAGTTATCATGGCGGATTCGTGATCGCGCAAACGGAGTAATTGCATCAAGTATCAAAAATTGATGCTGATTGAACGGGCTAAGAACTTGATCGGATACAAGTACCATGCACGGTCCGTTGCTGAATATATTGACGCATCAAAAATCGATAAACATCAGTTGAATAATCAGACCGTGTCAAAAGAACACAATATTTACACCAAACATTGTTCTGCTAACAAGCTAGAATGGTTTTATGGGTAAATAATGAAAGAGACTAGACAACCTATCAAAAAACTGGCATTGGCATATTTACTTGCACAGTAGGACAAACATATGGCTACATCATCAGAATTTGCCTGATCTTCGGAAAAACCACTGATTACTTTCACAACTTCCCTCTTAGCATTGTGAGCTGGCTATAACCAAAGATATTTTCCAAATTTTTCTGTTTGAAATTTCACCGACTGGTTGTGTTTCATTCTACTTGTGTGACCCAGTAAAGATACCAAACACAAATTGCTTGAATATGACATCTACATTAAAACTCAACCTCATTAGGCAATCCCATCGTGTTGTACACTTTCAGAGAACGGCGGAAGCAGCAGTTAATTGAGTAACAGTGAATTTACAAGAGGCCGTGTGTGGTTGGGAAAAAGGCAAATGAAATTTGTTGTACAGCTTCCACTGACGGAACCCGGCTAAATTTGAAGGATACCTCAGATCTGGCCAGTAAATACGATCACACCCTCATGACTATTCCTGGATCTATAAGGTACTTCACAAACACGTCTTGGGCCCCATTCGATAGTCCAGCTGATTAACAGAAATTTTGAAGACGGGGTGATGTAAATTGCTAACACGTCTGTTTGGCAGCACAAAAGGAAGGTGTAGAAGTACAGGCTCATGCGCTTTTGATGGAATTCGCCACCAATTGTGACGCAATTTTGCCACACGTATGAGCAGCGCCCACTTTGGTGTTGACTACATTCAGCTTCTCGTAAATGAAGTTTCATTCTTGTGTGTTATTGTGAGTATTTCAAATAGTTTTGTGAATGCCACTTCGTTTGTGAATGGTGTACACACCTGACGAACTGATAGGAGCTGTTTCTTCAATTACCTTTCACTGAGATTATGTGGAATGCGACGAAAAACGTATTAGCTGTAGCTGAATCAGCACCACGCACATTAAGACTAAGACAGCCCCAAATGCTCAAACTCGATTCGAACACGTCCGGTTGGTAGATTGAACAAATAAGAGGTGCTTTACATATCCATGGAAAGAGCACGACGTTTCCGAAGCAGCAGAATGAAATTTATTGCAGAAAACCCACGGAAAAAAAACGCATGCGGGTAGATCTAAACCACCAACTGGAGCCAATGGCTGCCTGATGTCGGAGATCAAGGTCAAACCGCCAACTGGCAGTGTCAACTTGTCTGAACTGAGCCAGAAATAATTCAAATTTATATCATTCTTATCCTAGCGCCACGCATAAACGCTGAAAGCTGCAATATTAAATTACAATTTTTTCCCTCAAATTAGGGCGTCGGGCAATTAGCGCTAATGGATGCGAAAAATTTTACGTCCCAGCAGCAACAAGCAAGTAATGCGTCTTTTTTTATAACTGGCTTGGAACAATTGTTGTTCAGGTAGCTGCATTCCAACTGTCGTCTACGCAAAACTTACAGGTTTTTTTAAAAAAGCCTAAGTCGAAGAATGCACTGTAACTGCAAGCCAGGTTAGCAATAATTGCGTGTGACCTTCAACTGCCACTAAGTGACATTGAAGGGTCACAGTTTGACAAGTACAGGCAATCAGTTTGATGGATATTTAATCATCCGACGCTTCAATGTTGGTGACATGTAAGGACTTACCCAAGTGGGCAGATTCTACTTCTTTTTCCGCGGTAGGCGTTTCGCAAGCTGGCGCTTCAACGAGAGTAAATTCCAGCACATCGTCCGACTGATTGTAGCATTCAGAAGGCGTCGTTTGCTGCAGAATCAACAGTTTTTGTCGTGTTCTTCCTCGGACAAGAGTCCGTCCATCGTCGGGCGAATCGCCTGGTGTGTCATTGTCGCTGCAGGCGGTTACGTAAACTTCCTCGCCAGACGGGAAAAGTTGACTGTTCACGGTCATATAGGAGTCCGTATCGCTTACTATGCTGTCACGGCTTCGTAGGGACGTGTGCGAGAACCTGAACGAATCGGAGTTCGAAAGGAAGGGACTTCCTGATCTGGGTCTGTCTGAGGGAGGCTGCTGGCGTCTTCCATGTTCACGTCGTAGAATCATAGTTTCCTCTAGGGGACGCTTTGAGGCCGAATTATCCGATTGTCCTGCATCAGCTGCTACTACGACAGTGTCGCAGGATCGCGCACAGGAAACAGCTGTTTGTGATCGATGCTCATACGCGCAGTCAGCTGATTTTAATTCGTCATTGGTGGATATCGATGAGGTGTCGGTGTCAGTAAGGAGGTTGTCCTCCTGCGAGTTCTCCTCTATTGTAGGGAGTGAATGTTGGCTGCCAAGGAGTGGAATTGTCCGACTTGCGTCTTCCTGTGGACTTGGGGTGACGTTCTCGCTGTGCAAAATAACGTCATGGAGGGAAATTATGTTGCTGCTTTCACCGAATGTTGGCGAACCGGGTGGTGACTCATCCTGCCTGAAATCTGAAGGCGATCGCCAGGACTTGTGTGGATGAGGTTCACGTCCCGGCTTTTCAGCCTCCTCCTCATTGTCGAATGGTTCAAAAGCAGTGTGCGATCCAAGACCAAGGTTATGCAAACCCCTAGAGCCTCTCTCCATCTCCATTACATAGCGTTTACTTCCAGATTCGTGAATGATTGTTTCGCCCTGATGGAATGTTGAATGAGCACCTGACCGAGGGGAGGGTATTTTCTCACTAAGAGCGTCGATATCCCGGCGAACTGACTTCAACAAGATCTCCATCGACTCCAGGCGGGCCTCGCTGTCCTGAAGCCACACCTCCTCTGGTGAAAGAGCACGTTCAGCCATCATTTACAGGAAAGAGTCAATGACAGAATTCACGCAGCAGTCTCTTATAATTGCGTGAGGATTGATTTTTGTTGATTTTATCGCATTTGGGCGTGGTGTGCGGACGATGTAAACTTAGGTCCTTGCACATGCGACTGAATGAGTCACTGCTTTTCCTGAGCGTCGCGTCGCCTTAAGCTACCACGCACGCGCGTGCGCACTCCTCGCCAATCCACACCAGCCAATCCCACATGTAAACGGCTTATCGGGCCGTTATTGGCGCACTCGAGGTGAACGGCGAAAGGCAGGTGCATTTCGATTGGCCTATCAGACAAGGTCACACATGCCTCGTATTTCAATACAAAAACTTGAATCGCGTGGCCTCAAATTTTCACAGGCGAAGTTAATAAAACACATTTTGTAAATAATAAATTAAGTTGCATAGTGCAACAGATGCCTCACCCCTACAAAATAACCACGTAAAAAGGAAATTTTCTTGTACACCCGCCAAGAGGCAAAATTGATCACGTGACAATCAACCCACGCGTCTACGCAATAGTTACAAGCTAAGGCTGGTTTCCACCAATTAAAATGGGAACACGTGTACTTTGCTTTGGGATCCAATTGGCGTCGTTATTATTAATACAACAGGCAAGTTGAAATTTAGTGACAATTACGAGAATCGTTCTCCTGGCTGGTTTTAAAGTGTAACCTATAGTAGCTTTATCATGAAACTAAAATTACTTTAGCGGACTTTTCGAATTTGGGGGGTCTTCATTAAAACGAATTTTCAGCAACTTGGGATGTTTGGCAGTTGACATTAGAGGTAATTTTGGGTAATTATGCTTGACCCTTGGCCTAAGTAGTATTTTAATTACTGTGTTTCATATTTTAATTGCGACCAACATTAGGGACATTATGTAAACCCAAAGAACACACACGCGATTCAAAATCCGCGAGGATATTAACGTAGCTGTATTACTACCTGTTGCAATGTTAAGCAGTCAGGGTCAATCTCCGTCAGTATCCTCCTTATCAGTTCAGTAAGAAAATAAACTGATGAAGAAAGCTGCTGCTGACACAGGCGAGTCAATGTGAATTTTACTAATACTCAATGCACAAATCATCGATCGTAAATGGGCAGCAAGTTCTGAAATCCGTAGTCATTTGCATCCTCTGGACAGAATCTTTCAGGCGTTCAACGAAACATTTTGTGGAAAATTACTACTTTTGGAATCTTTCCAAGAGGAAACGATCCGGTTTCTGCTAATAAAATTCACCTTAATTATACAAGACAGGAAGCTGTAGTCACTTTGCACCACATAACAACCCTTCTGATTAACGGCCTGTAGCACCCTAAGACAAATAAAAGGCGGTCAACAGCGGCTATGACCTTTTATTCAACCGTTGTCAAGGTAACATGCGGAAAAACTCGTCTAACGCTGTGTAAACCGAAGCCAATGTACACGAATCAATAATCGATTATCTGAGCATCGATCGTCACCACGAGCAGATGGTCAAAGTCATTCTGGCGTGGGAATCGATCGCCAGCCTATACGAAAGTCCCTGGATTTGCCTTAGGTAACCATAACGACGAAAGAAACGTTAATTTTCAAAAAGTGGCACAACTACATATTTTTTAAGGCGTGTTACTGAACAGACCAGTCCCAGTAAAGAGGGAAGCCCTAATTTTGCATGTTATTGAAAAAAAATCATGTTTAAGTGTCGGGTTGTAAATGTTCTACCTTGTAAGTTGGTCATTTGGAACAACGGCACTTTGAGGGAAAGCAATTTTTTAAAGGGATAATGGCGAAACCGCTTAGTCTTCTGAAAAAGCATTCAGCTCCACTGTTTGGCAGGAAAATAGTCGACTGAGCACTGAGAAAAATCGATAACAACAGAGGACTTGCAGCCAGGTTGACAGTACAGTCAAATCACGAGGGTGCCAGCGGTGTCGGGGTGTGATTTCCTAACAAGGGTTGACCGCTGTTTACATTCGCGCACACATTGGCACATGAGATCGGCAGCATGCGTGGCATTTACAAATACGCCAGAAGGACACGAATGTGCAAAATAAATAATTGAATCAATTGGATGCCGTGGCACACAACTAGATTACGCGGATGTCTCAGCGGCGAATGGATGTCAATACTGCTGTAGGTTTACGTGTAGTTGATGGAAGGAGGCGCAGTAATCGTAGTCGGCGTGAAAATGTCCAGACCGGGTTACGAGAGACCTGAAGGAGTATGGTAAATGTCCTTTCTATAAATTGAAATGATTCCCACCACCACCAACACCACCAGGAATTAACAAAGAGACGAAAACTGACAGCGTGTTCATTAATCATAGGGAAGAACGGAAATGTCCTTCGACAGTTTATGAACCCATCAGGGCCAAAGTAATGCGTATAAAATGATACATTCAAATAACAGCACTCAAATATTCCATGGATCCAAAAAGGGCATCGAATTCCGTCAGTGTATTGATTTTTTATTAAATTTTCCAGCAAAATCAATCAGACAACATGTTTGCGCTAATTTACTCCGAATTGCAGCATTGGCAGTGGATAGGAAAACGTTACATTGCTAAAGATGCCCACAAGCCAACGAAAATGCGGCGTTGTGTTCAGTCCATGTGTTATGTTCTTTTAAACATGATGAGGTAGCACAAAGTTGCTGTGCGGTCCACGTATCCAGTTCAGAAGTGATTCTTTTTTTGTCAGAAAAGTCTCATTTTAATTAGGTTTAATGAGCAAACGCATCAGTGGATGCGACGATGAACTTTTTACTGAAAGGCGCATCGCTGACACCTACCATTCTGCTAGACCAAACCATTTGCAGTACAAAATGCACTTTTTTTGTTTGTGTCTAAGACACTATGTTGAGAGAGGCTGAAGTGCTTAAAATTTTTTTCAGAGCAAACAGTAACCTATCCAAAATTCGGTGCCTAAATCATAGGCCAAAATGCCCAACAGATTTATCTCTACAACTGTAGAAATCTGGGCCCAATTATGAAAATCGATAAATTTGAATTTAAAAATAGGTATTCTGATTGGTTAAGAGTTACAATATCATGATTCCTGCATCAGAGATGCACTAGACACTCTCTAAGTGCAGTAAATTAATTTCTAAATAAATTGACTTCATGTTGACATCCTTTTACACTACTGTGACAAGTAAGGTGTGAGCTTAAATAATTGTAATTGCGTTTGCCTACTTGAGTTTACATCGGGTTAGAATGGCAACTAATTCATCGATTTTATCAATCTGAATAAATCATTTTTCCCTCAAGCTTATTCCATGATGGAAGTTAAGATATTCAATACCTTCATTGCAATTTGCCACGGCTGCTCACAGTTTATTGTCTGGCATTACATGAAGCACGGGTAACCACCTTAACCTGAATAGTTTTCGTGTCGATGTCCTTAAGACGGCACACGATAAGACCATTAGAACAAGTTAAGCGTGAAATGTGTCGTGTCACAACGATAGTGGTGTTAACATGCTACCTTAACACGCAAAGGTGAAAGGTAAATGGTATTTTAAGATCATGGTATGATGCAAGTGCGTGTTTCCCCAAGAAATCCTCATTTTTATTGCAAGTTGGATAAAATCAGTATAGGGACAGCATCTGAAATATTTCAACTACGTGTAGGAATTCAATATCTAGCTACTCAACTTGCTAGCGGTTATCAAGAAATTGAAATTTCAAGATTCAAGTGTTTGGGCACAAAATGCTACATAGGTGAAATTTTGAAGTGCTCTCCCAAGGTCACATTTGGTGTTTTAACTCACGCAAACCCCGCCATCCATAATGCCTTGATTTGTGACGCGCGCCATTCGACCCACGCACGCCGGTCTGGCCTGTTCTTTGTCCCCCTCTCCCTTCCCGCACTCTCGCCTTCCTCAAGGCACGCCCGTGAGTCCGAGGGCAACGCCAACCCTCCTCGCGGCCATCCCTTTCCCCACTCTAACTCTCCCAAAGCTCTTGCCCTCTGAGTTTGTATGCGGTAGTATGGAATACATCCGGTTCTTCCAGCTATTCTTCTATCGTGTGCCCGGTAGCTAACCATGATGGTGTGGCTAAGAGGGACGGGCTAACAGTCATCTCCCTATTTAGTTCCCCTCTCGGTAGGCGCGTTACAGATTTATCGGTCACTCGTGTACTTTTCTATTCTACCCACATCCACGTAATTATTTGACCCAATACTTACTATCCCAGCTGCCACGTTTCCTCTACCACTGAGGACCACCAGCAAACACGCCTTCGATTTGAGAATAGCCACGACCGCGTAACCACAACACTAATTGGGCCACCAGTCTCTCCTTTGGGGATAACTGCGCACCTTTCCCTAGTGTCTGGCCTTCAGGACTACAACAGCTCTAAACCAGCATCCTGGGTCTTCGTGTTGAAGGCCACGTCTTCGTGGATTTAAACGAACAAACTACTTGAGACATGTAGAATACATAAGGGCATTTCAATAATTGCTAAAACCACTGTTAAAATTTGAAAAAGGCGGGAAATGAAATCGGCGCCAACTAGGCAGTAATTTTAAACAACCACCTGATGCGGTGCATACCGGAGCCACCTGAAAATTTTACGCAACCTTCGCATAAAACCACCATGCACAAGAAAGACGACACCTGCGGAATGTATAAAACCAAATCTTTCCTTTTTAGACTTCAACTCATCGTGTTGACATTTGAGAGTATTTACAGGGGTTTTAGATTGACGTTCGCCTAATCGTCACTAAATGAGAATACTTTTGGCCTTGGTATCTTTGGCTTTACATGGGATTAGTAAGTTTGGGTGTAATGGAGTTTGGGTACCATCGACACTTCGATAAATGACCCCTAGGGAACTCAGCTCATTGGCTCTTTTCGAATGCCTTTATTTACTACGCAAGTATTGGTTGTTACAAGGTCGCCATATTTAACGACAGAAGCTCTGATTTGAAATTTTAATTGGCTGAACACACCCTTATGCGATACCACCATTTAAATTACTATGGAGTTGTGTTTTCACATACGCTTATGAGAATCACACATACTAACAAAGCATGTTTGGTGCTAACTGTGATCGTTGTCCGCTCTTGCTTCTAAAACGAGAGATAAACATTTGCCCCGGGACTTGAGTTTGCGCGAGATCAAGACGATATTTGAGGATTTGAGCTCTCCCAAAGTTATAACGACATTGTCAGAATTAAAATCACTGCCTACAAAAGCGAGTGAACTAAATAGTCGATTCTTGAAAAGAACCAGACAGTACACTAGTTTTGGCGCGTAAAAACGACGTGATAGCAATCAGTTGGTAACCACGGAGTAGAGCATAAAGTCGCCTACAAACGCACATGAGAGCAAACCACCAACTTGAATTACTAGGGCTAATTGAAAAGCTGAAAGAAGAACAACGCCTAATTGGGGTGATGAATCAAAAATTTTCCGAGATAGTTTAAGGCGCAGACATTCAAAGAGTGGTGTGAGTTTTAGGAACACACGTGAATGTAAGCGAATACGCTGTCATTAATTATTTAAAGGCATCCGTTCGTGACCAGCCCAGGTGGCTTTAATCGGGTCAATGGGTTAATGAAATGCAACACACTACATTTGATGACATTCTTCACGGCCTCATTAGCAGCAGACTCAGACAACGCGAACTGGGTATCGATTGAGTGCGATTGGATTATTGACAAGAACTCATAGTTGTATTGTGAGATTGGACTTGAGACACAACAGATTGGAAATCAATAATTTGGCTGGACTGATGACTCATACGCACACGTCAATCTCCACCTCAATGGCCATTCGACAGCCTCATTCAAAAAATATTTTGGGTGAAATAAGTGGTCATTACTTTGGCAAGACGAAAATTCGTCTGAAATTGTCAGATGAATTCGTTTGAGCACTGCCACGACAACACCATAGAGTCGCACATTACCGTAAAATCTGGGTGCATCAGGCGTTTTCGAGAATTGTCACAGTTCCACACGAATGAGTACAAAGTAGTATGTACACTCGTAGCTATGACCACAGCCCCCGCAATATTTACTCGTTCGGCCCACACCCGCAAGTGCTTACACATGCATATGCCCTGAGGTATATTTTGGCTTGTAGTGAATCGTGCTGATTCGCGTCCATTAACACGGTCTTGGGAAACCTTCTTCTCACACACCCTACTGTGTGTGTACCTCCCCCAAGAAACCAATTTCATTCATTCGACAGTACAGCCATTTGTACTTTTACAGGTCCACTCAGACTGTAGTGATCAGCAACTCCATTTAGCAAGACACTACATTTTGTGCGCGACAGTTACAAACAGGTTGAGATGTCTAGTAAACGATCGTCTCTGTCGTTTCTGGTCTAATTAGGTATTTGAGTTGTGTAAACGGGCCAATTCGACTCAGCGACCCCGGCGTGGTACAGGACTGCACGCTGGGGCCTACAGCAGACTTTCCGCCCCATCGACCATCGAACGGAGCCTACACTGAAGGCCTAATGGCATTTCGCCTTGTTCAACGCAGTCCGTGATTCCTTCAGAAAAAAAATTCGATGGTTAATTACTTATCGAGACAGGAATGGAATGCTGCAGAAGGCACTGGCGTCGTGCAATCGTCTCGCACGCAATGGCATTTAGTTCGGCAATTTGTCATTTTGCGTCTCTTAAATTATGCGCGGATCGTAGGAACACACGGGGACTCTGCACCCACGTGAAACGAAAAGCGTGACTCGATTGGCTGGAGATGTGGGCTTGAACGGGTGTCCAATCACCGCGCAATCCAGCTTGTGCTGTTTGAGTGCAGCTGCTCCGAGAAACCCGATGTCTTGGCAACTTTGCTGCTTGCTTTAATCAAAATGCCGAGTTCCCGCACCTTGACATTACTCATTGTTGATGTTAAAAAGGCAAGTATGGATCCCACAATTACTTGTACCGATTCACGTACAGCCAATCAGATAAGAGATTGGTTGAAATTGCTAGATATGTCGCGCTTTAGGCCTTGAAAAGGTAGGCTGTGGTGTTGTACATTTTAGTTCGCTGAAAAAACTTAGCAATGGCGTATTCTTTTGACACTATGACGGGATTAATTTATAAATTGACAGCTGTTTTTGATGTTAAAACTTGGAATCTTTTCTCCTCAAAGTCACGGAGAATAAGGCCTTTTCTTCGTCCATGTCTTAGGGTCAAAAACTTTACTGATATGACCTTAGAGGCCTGTTACGTCGACTCGTATTTGCCGTATCCAAGTGAAGAAGAGGCTTTCATTTGTATTAATCAGTTATGAGCATTTGTAAAACATTGTTGTGTCCTAGCATATATTCATTTTGTTCGTTCAAGTGGAACTAATACAAGAAGGGTTTAACTAATGTTCGATGAACGCACACTTATGTTATTTGCAGTTTCATTCACGCCTGCAATTCACACTCTAACGGATAGGAAAATTCACAATACTCGACGTTTATTGTAAGCTGAAAGGAATTTAAGAGGTTGTTTGAATTCCACTGAAAAAGAGTGAGACAGACAGGAGTTAGTCTGGGGTGCAAAGGCATTTGAATTCAAATGAAATTGCATAAGCCATTTGTTTTAATTGATCACTGCGCTCGGCATGGGCTCACAATTAGCAAAGTGTGGATGCTGCAAACAGCAAGGGAAATTCTACTTAACTGTCGCCAAAAATTGTCTTTGCTCATACGCTTTAAAAAGGCTCTAGTAGATTCAAAGCTTGGACGCAATTTTGAATCAGTGGCATTGTGTTGTTTTGGAGCCAACCTAAGTTATCCCTCGCAGCTCCCAAAAACAAGAGGAACAAAATAAATACATTTAGAAATCGCTGATTAATCAGTGTTGGCGAAAAAAAAATAACAGAGTGAACGTGAGCTATCTTCCCTAAATGTACTTCCAAAAATGAAAGAAATCAGAACGAAAATTACTGTTGGTCGTGAATGCACCCCTCAATAAAAATTTGATATCGATTTTAGTAGGAAACCAATTACCTTTCTTTGGTAAATGTCATTTTAGCAAATATGTGATTTCACAAGTTAGCATGGCCAGTTCAAAAACAAACTGACCTACACGTATAGTATGTCTGAATTCAAGATAAAAATTGTCTTATCAAGAAAATCTATTGTCTTTATTGTTCGAAAATGTAGTTGCAGCCAAGAAAGGATGTTAAATAAACAAATTTAGCTGATTAATTTTTGCAATATGGTTTGAAAGAGATTATACCTACCATTATAAGGCATTGTGGATTAAAATTGGTTAGTAATTCCATTTCCTCTTCGATTTCGAATTTCATCTGAACTGTATCATAATTTTTACAAACCTTTTATGAAATCAATTTAATAGAATCATGAATTAATAATAACCGAACACTCAAAATGGTGTATAGCCTCTAAGCCACCCGCTACTTAGCACAATTGTATCATGTCTCCCGTTTGGGAGCTCAAAATGGTAGGTTAGCATGAGTATGTCTCTCAAAGATAACTATAATTTCGGGTTGAGCACCAAGAATGCTAGAGAGGACTAGCCATAATGACCTTGTGTATTTCAGACTACCAGGTACAGGGGTAGGCGAACTAGAGCTTTAAGAGAGGGTCAGAGAGGCGATGAAGAGAGAAAGGACAGAAGAATAATCAGGGTTGTCCTTAGACTCGTAGGAGGAGGCTAAGGAAATTGGAAAACAAAGGACGGTTAAACAGTGCATGTTTGCAGAATGGCGCATTATACAATCGTAATTCAGGACTAGAGCCAACCAGCATTTTGCATTTAAGAGCAAATAATTATCCTAGAAAAAGAAGAATTTGGAGAAGTGGAGACATAATGCGTGTCGGAATTTGGTAAATCAAAGGGGTTTGTATGAAAATAAGAATTATTGAACCATAATTATCATACTAAAAATAAGCCATCAAAATTGCATTAATCACTGTTTTTACAGAAGAAAGCAGAACTTAAAAATTAAGTCAAAATAAGAACTAAGGAAATCCCTTAGGTGGCCAGGTTCATACTGTAACAAAGCAAAAGTGCTCGCAAAGAGGAAACACGTCGCGAAAATTCAACCAGCCTAAGTAACTAATAAGTATTAGATTTCTAGTTATTTGCAGTAAATTTGGAGCAAATTATGCAGTCAAATTACCAAAAAACGCTAAGCAAAGTCTTACGTGATAGTAACAAAAAATTTAAGGTCTTTTTCCAAATTAGTTTTCACTGAACCAACACAATGTAAAAATATAGAAAACAAAAAAATTGGTAACTAAAGTCTTTAAGTTCCGAAAAACGCTTTCTTGTTCCTGTAAAGTGTGTGGGCGAAAAAAGCCTCCATTATATCGATTTTGTAATTTATTCGACGGTGAAACGTGAGCAAAGAATGGTACACTTTCCCATAAATGAGGAATTTAGACCTGCTGCATTTGACGCGAATTAATAACTATTAACCCTACCTAAAAATAGGAATCTTTTAAGGCATTCTTCAAGTGTAAAATGGATTTACCGATATGGTACACCTTGACGTACCTCAATGGTTGGAGTATGGAGCCACGTGTTTTTAGAGAAAATTTTAAAATATGAATTTACTAATCTAATTAAATTAAGATAAATTTAAGAATTGTGAATAGCCTGAAGCCTATTTTATCGAAAAACTATAAGTGGTTTACCGATTAAATATTTTTTAAGGGATTCTCAACAAAAAAGTTGATTTTAAAAAATCGAACTGTAAGATATTAGTCATCACAGCCATAAAACCATTGCTAATTTCTATTTATGAGATTTTAACCCAATACCTAGACGGACTTTGTGTTACCTAAAAGATATCTCATTTACGAACCATAGCAAGATGACCAAAATTAACCAATAAGAGAAGGGCACTTTTGCAAACACCGCCTCAGTAGAAGTAGCCGCTATACGTGGGATTGCGTTGCAAAATGAATTTCATAAATTCAGTGTTTATCTATCCTTTCTCAAAGATCCTGAATTACCTTGGATTATGGCAGAAAAGTGGAAAACTTGTCTTTCTTGGTCTCGACAATGCTGGCAAAACTACTCTTTTACATCGCCTTAAAGACGATCGCTATGGAACGCATAATCCAACTCTCCACGCCACATGCGAGGAACTTACCATTGCTGGCATGAAGTTCACAACATATGATCTCGGTGGTCATGAGCAAGCCCGGAAAGTTTGGCACTCCTACATTCCTGCAGTAGATGGAATCGTATTTATAGTTGACGCCAGTGAGAGCGAACGGTAAGAAATTGTTTCGTAGTAAGTTCACTTTTTAAGGTTTGATGAAGCCAAAGCTGAATTAGACAGCCTAATAATGGACCAACAAGTTGCTAATGCACCCATCCTCGTTCTGGGAAACAAAATTGACGTACCGTCAGCCGTCAGTGAAGCTGTTCTACGAAGTCACTTGGGTTTGGATGGTCAAGTAACGGGGAAAGGAATTGTTCCAAGGGAACACATCGACAGCGGCAGACCTATTGAAATTTACATGTGCAGTATACTTAAACGGCAAGGGTATGGTGATGCCTTTAAGTGGCTTGCTCAGTACCTGGACTGAAAATTCCGTGTCGTTCCTGGTGTCTCACTCCACTGCCTTTACTTTACTTTACATCACTTGAAATAGATAACCTTTGTAACATTTACCTGCGTCCAAGAACTCCATTTATGATCGTAACAGACGTGTACACCGTCTCGGATCGAAATGCTTGTTTTTCGTTCCTGGGGGTGCACATTCATTGTTTGTTTATGCTTTCTGCATTGCTGTGTAAAATTTTAACAGCTTATTACTATGTTAATAGCTTTATTTTCATGGTAAGCATTATTTATTTGCCACCAAGTACCAGATTGGTGTTATGAGTTGATGGGTTTCTAGGCCGGTTTTTTAATCTTCTCCGTAAGTGTTAAAGCGAAGTGGGTGTTAGTAGAGAACTTTTATCTTACCAAATCCGTTTTATTGTCTCCTGCGTGACTTATTAGTCTCTTGCGTCGAACCCACTTGTATGCTGCTTGCTCTGCCGAAAGTTTGGCCTAAGATTTGACACATTAAATTAAGTTCAGGGCACGACTGTTTTGGCTGTTGTTTTCATTGGTTTTACCCAACCGGCTTTGTGTCCTTGTGCCTCAGGAATTCCTTTAATTTCAAATGTGCTTCGGCGTGATAACTAAATTCGATTCCATTTGTTGTCTTATCCGCGCTAATTACTACACACGTGGTGATTAGGCCCCCAACAATTGTCAGTACTAATTCCATGGACATATTGTTTCCCACCATATTTCGATCTTGTAGTGTTGGGTTTTCTTTATTATGCGTTCTTCAAAGTTGTAGCTGTAGGGCATGACGATACTTGTGCACTCTTGTGGTACTCTTCGATGACATGGTGCCTTCTTAATGCGTACTGATTCGATTTTATTCTCCAGGCTGTTTAACCATATGTAGTCCTATGTTTAGGTGTAGCCTGTGCCGTTGTACTCCTGTTCGAGAAGGTACTAATCCTGTGATCTAGGCGATATGTTTACTTAATCCTTACTTGGCACCTTGATCATCCGCAATGAGTGTGTCACTTTACTAGGCCACTGTTCCAGTCAGGACTTGTACTTTTTTACGTATCGGCATTTCACTAATGTATCAATTAGGTAGCAGGCATTTTAACCGAGTTTCAACAGAAATGCCATCCACCCACGCGCTTTAGTTAGTACATACGTATTGAATGACACTTCAGTGCCTGCTTGTGTTAAGGCTGTTGTCGCGTAAACACTGCCCATTGATTAGTCGACGTACATGGTTCGAGGTCAGTTTTTTAAGCGGTAAATCTTCAGTCCTACCAATAGTGTGGCACAACAGTAATGGGCTTTTGTTTTGTGAGCCGTCTGACCGCCAGGCCTCGCCAATTTCAAGCGTCCTAAGTCGATACTTTTTTAACTGGACTTGTGTAAACTGCAGATTAACTGCATGTTTTGGTAATGTGGCACTTCTCGACTTGCAACAGCCACACTGCATCCGTCCTAAAACTGAGAATGGACTGCCTGCGTCGGTATAAACAGAGTTATCATGGTAAACAGGTGTTATGTAACGACGAAATGCGTTTTGACCGTAAACCATAACCAACCGGTGGACTGTCATTTGATTGCAGGAGCGTTTTTACTGTGATTGTCCTCTAGCGACTTGTCGTCCCATTTCTGTTCTCAGTCGTATGGGTGGTTGTTTCTGAAGCTGCAGAGCCAGCAGCAACTCTGCCTTTGGATTGCATCGGTTCCTTTTCACGCATCTCAAAATACGCCTGGCGTCCTCTCAACGAGTTCTAGGGCCGCTTCAAACCCCCACAATAGGTCGGGAAGGTGGCTGTACGTCATTGGTTGGTGTAGCAATGGTCACTTGATTTGCTTGTCTAGGCTTTCCCGTGGAAACGTCCGATGCCTACACAGAAAACGCTGCGCCTTCTATTATTCCAAATATACGTATATGTGAATGAGCTACTACGATTCCTGGTAAGTAGAGATCTAATTCGAGGTTAACTCGGTCAGCCAATTGGCGCAAGCTCGGTCGTGGGGCTTGTCTGTCTACCAAAAGCGCAAAAAGCTGATTGGCTAGGAGGCGCTCTTCAGCAAAAATTCAACGCTGCTTAAACTCTTGCCGATTGTAAGTGGTTACCGCGGGGGCGTGTGGTTCAAGAGTTAGATTCCCATCACCGAAGGCAGAGAGAAGACGTAACAGTGACGAACAGGCCCACGTGAGGAATCACCACCGGAGGTGTAGCTGGTGAATTTCGCTGACGCAAAGGTTGTGGGGACAAGGTCGCACACGGCTAACCTGAAAACACTAAACACGGCGATTTTCAGGCTGTGGCGCTCATTGTGTGTGTGTGCAAAAGCCGACCAGGCGGTAGGCATGTCAACTCAACTTATTTCCCTTTTACCCCCACGAAAGACCAGTCATCAAAAAAAGGTCAGTTAAAAATAGATTTCATTCCCAATCATCGCATTTCAAAGAACTGAGAATCTGAAGGAGGGGGAAATTGTCATAGTTGCAATCTGGATTAGATATATGGAAGTACATATTAGCAAGGTAATTCTACAAAAAAGTGTCAATTTCGTGATTTAATTATAATTAAGAGGGTTCGCTGTAGCATTTGCGCAGGCTACAGAGGTGGGGTTTGACATGATTGAATTCGCATACGAGGGGGGAACGTAAAGATCGGGCTTGCGGGAGAAGGTGCCGCCTCCAGCGAGGTGTGGCGGCGTTGGCGAGTAGTTCGGTTCAGGTGGAGAGTTGGATTCGGGTCGTTGGGTTTGCATCAGGTCGGCTGGCGCCTGGTTGATATTGGTGTAGTCGACACCAAGAGGCTGAAGCTCCTAAAGTCAAAACGGAAAAATACCACCTACTTATAAGATATAAGTACGGTCAGCATATACACAATCGGTCGGTAGTCTCACATTGTGAAGTTGAAGTCGCCGGGACAGGGTGGAGACAAAGTTCTGCACAGCCTTGTAGATGAATCGATACTGTGTCTCTGTCTGCACCATGCCCGAGCGCTGCTCACGGACAGCTTGAACAGTCCGTGAGATGTCGATGTCGCACTGGAGGCCGTAACGTTTGATGTAGTTGATGAGCATGTCGATCACAATGAAGGTGCCCGTCCGCCCGATTCCGGCACTGCAGTGCACCACAATCGGCCCAGACTCCACCAGACTCTCCTAAAAGAACAGGGATCAGACAGATGTGATCCCTAGTTCCGCGTGGAGTGTTCTCGGTGCAGATGAGTCTACACGGTTCCAGTCCGCAACACACTCACCTGGCGCTTGGAGATGTCGAACATGAAGTTGAGCACACACGAGGGGTCCGAGGGTGTTCCGTGGTCGGGCCAGGCGTGGAACTGGTAGTGGTAGACAACGAAGCCCCCCTTATTAGCAGCAGGAGTAGTGGTGGCGGGACTGGCGTCGCGAGAGAGATGCAGCTCGCGCAGCGTGTACGTCTCCAGGTTGTGCTCGGACAGGCCGCGGACACGCAGTGTGCCCCCGTAGCTGGGCAGCTCAAGAGTGCCCTGCGCCTGCGTTGGCCAGTACCGCCAACACTTGTTCTGAACACAACGCCAAGTGTTAGCGTCACTAGGGCACACCAGATGTGTTGTTTGACTAAATACCTACACCAATCCCACATCAATTGCCGCGTTAAACAGCCAATACTAGTGACTTAGCACACTTGACTGAGATGGAGTAGGCGGGTCTACGCATGGTACCCGAAATCGATTAACTGGTCACTGAAATGGGCGAAACAACGACGATGGAGCGAGAGCAAAGTGTCTGTGAAGAGACGTGCTACGAACCCAAGGAACACACAGAGGAAGCAGGAACAGCAAATGAAGTGAATTTACAAGGGGCCGTGTGTGTGAAGGTTGGAAAATGCAGGCAAACCCACTGACGAAGGTTTCAGAATTCAACTTCTCTACCGCCAGACACCTTTGATACCCTCATGCATTTGATTTGGTCTGTTAATACGAGCAAATTCTCGTAACTCTTCACACGTATATGCGGTCTCGATTATGACACCTTGCTGCGACACGCACGACCAAGGTCATTGAAATTTAATGCCCCCTATTCCCACCAGACTGCGACAGGCATAAATTAAGACGCGTCTACTTTTTTTACTATTTTAGCAAATAGCCTTTTTTGCGTGAAAAGACACAACAACTTTTTTTTTCAGAAAATACTTGGGAGTTTCTGTTGTGCGCGTGAAGAAAGCCACAGAGAATAATGACGCCCCCACCCCGTGCACCAATCAAAATGCACGAACAGGAATTGGCCTTACACGCTGTGCGCGAGTTAAATTTACCGATTTTACGGGGGAAAAATATTTTCGGCCAGTGGCTGCGTCCTTGGAAAGTTCAAGTCGTGACCGATTTCACGCCAAGTACACGACAAGCGTTTCAAGCACGGTATTAGGCAAATTTACAGACGCGAAGACAAGTCGAGCGTGCTTCGGTTGTGTGGAATTTGTAATTTCACCTAAAAAGTGCGCCGTTTTTATCGTTGGGGTTTAAATTTCAAAAAAAAACAGGACAGGGCGCGAGCGCACACACACATTAAAAAACCGCGATCGATATGCGTGCCTGGTGGATTGCACGTTCGTCCTTAAAGAAAGTCTCTTCTCTTATTTCTTTAAAAAAAGATAAACGCATGCAACATTTTTCCTGTTATTTCGTTGTGTACCTTATGTTGTTTTACTGAGCCGAAGCACTGAATTGGCGCGCGCCAACTCCCGAATTACGTGAACTTGTAGTATTGATTAATATTGATTGGTTTGGGAGAACACCTTCCTACCACCATCATGCAGAGCGTGTTCCAAGCTGTCTGTGGTGCTTTCGACATCACCCACTTCAACTTGTGGCCGAATCAGGCCAAGGAGAAGCCTTATTTACAATTGTTTGTGTTAGTTCAATTGAAACGGTCGTTAAGTGATAAAAATCGCAACAGACAACTGATAATGCAAGTGTGTGATGTCGGCCACAAAAATTCCATCCGGTAAGAGATGAGTTAGGCGGAGTATTCAAGTTGATTTGCTTGTGGGTTCTGCCTGCCACCTTAATATGACTTCCTCCTCTTGCGAATGACCCAGCCAATCGAAATTGCATATTCATGTTGAATACCACGGAAACGAATTTCATGCCAGTTTAATCAAAACCGATCTGGGAAGCTGACCGACACACAGACCGTTAGGATGCACGACTTAGCGAATAAAACTCGACAACGACCTCGAACAATGCCCTCAGCCAAACACGAGTGGCTCGCTTCATCACACCGTAGTTACAACACTTGCCGACCGTTGTTTCAGCAGATTCTTGGGAAATCAATGACAGGGTTTTTTAAGGGCGTATCATCAACATCATCACCACAGTATCCAACGTTTGGCAAAGGTGTAACCTCGTGTCCGACCTCAACGTCGCCTCCAGCAAGCGAAATGCGCCTACGACGCGAAATTGCCCTCGGTGAGCGTAAACCTGGCCTCGTGGCTGACCCCAAACGCATGGGTAATTAGGGCAGCTAGGCTGTCCATCAAGATTAACCACTCCGAGGTGGTGAAAGACGCCTTCACCACTAGCGGGTTCAGTTCAGGGAGGAGCAAGGGCGGGTGGAGGGGGCAGATGTTACCCCTCAACAACCCTAGCCAGAACTACTGCCATGTGGGTGGGGCGAGCAGCAAATGTTCTAAAAAGCACGAGCTCCATCAACTAACCCTGCCGCGTTCCACCTCCTTGGTGATCATGACGATGATGGCACTTCGTTCCTGCCAGATCATGCGCCAGAAATCCACCACGGTGTTGGGTAGGGTGCCCTGCGTGGCGATGTAACGCGGAGACGACGAGGAGGAAATGGAGGAGGCGGAGGAGGAGGAAGAGGGTGGGGAGGGGCTGGAGTGCTTCCGGTCACCCCTTGAGGAAGTTGAGGCGGTCGTTGGGGGCAGGGGGTCTACGGTTGTTGAACCGCCCACAAGACTTTCCGTCAGGGAGTCCTAAACAACAAAATCATTCTCATTATTCCAACAACCTTGGAGAGTGGATCTTGGAAAACACTCGTCGTTAAAGTATTCTGCGATACTAGAGCTAATCTCGGGCAAAGAGTGGACGACAAACACCAAATTTGGTGCAAATAATTCACTTTTAATCGTACCGCGTAGATCAAAAAACGCGCGGGCTGAAAACCGGAGTATTCGTGCTCGCAGGCCCAAACGCACACACACACACTGTTTCTTTGTGGTCAATTCATTCACCTGCACGGGACAGCAAGTGAAAAGGCTGTTCAACGAAGACCGCTAGCCAAGTCCGATCCAGTTGAATGGATGTCGGGTGATTCAGCCTTAAAAAGGTGCGCATTGGATTGGTGTGAACAAAAAAACCAAACTCTGACTGACGCAGGAAACACAAATGCCTTTTCGCATGCCAAAAAGCACGGTTCAGAATGTTTGCATACTAAAAATAGTAATTCAATTTCATAATTTACACCTGAACAAGTAAGCTCCGCTAAGACGCCCACAATGAACCAATGACTTGTTGATTCAAGGGCGGGTTTATGAATGAACCAATGGGAGTACGCTGTTTTACCATAAATAGTTTCTATACTATAAATCAGCAAACCTGCCGGAAGATTGTAGGTGGATAAAGTAGTGGCAGTGGAATGTCGTTGGCGTGGTATTAACCGGACGAACAGCCGGTTTTGAGCGAACAGTCGCATTTGCGGTAGACGAGACCACAGCCCCCAAAAAACGAGCAACAACAGTCCAAAACTGGTGCGTGCGTTGCCGCGTCCGCACACAGACCATCCAGGCACGTGTTGCTGGAAGCCGACTCGTGCGTGATTTTGGCTGGGCACAATGCCAAAGCAGAGGAGTGCGCGGGTGCGTGCGTGTGTGTGTGTGTGGTTACGCAATTGCCTGTGGATCTGGGCGCGTAAACAAGTGACGCGCACGCACGTACATGGACGCACGTGCTTGGCCGGCGCGGCAGAAGAAAGCAAGCCATCCAGGCACAACACGCCTCCCACACTCCACCAACTCGCACGTGTCCGCAGTTGAGGAATTGCCGTCTGCGTTGACACACTCGCATTACATCTCCATTGTCTACTGCAATGCTGCTAAGTACAGGAGTTCCACAGCCGCGTGAACCAACATCTCATCTGATTGTCTTGGCAGCTTACCGAAGGTAAAGGCCCAAATCACTCAATCGTCGAAAGTGGGGCAGTTGGCTGATACACAAATAGATCAAGTACGTTCCCCTGAACGATAATCCCAACAGCTCACATGACTCGAAAACCACGATGTACGGTAGATTATCAAAGCGTCTGAAGTAGTTTCATCTCAGACGTTATTCATTTAACAAAACAGCAGAAAAAATCAGCGGCTATTAGGTCAAACAGACTGTTCCAGAACAGATACCACGAAACCATCCGTCAACGACAGGCGATTAGTTGAGGAGGCGTTTGAGGGAACAGAAATTCACATTGCGGTCGGTGCAACATTTACCACGTGATTGCCGTGCACCCCTTTGTTTAACTGTTCCAACCACGAAATGCTGATGTTTTTTATGTTTACGCTTGTGGTAATGTTCCGAGCTGTCTTTGTTGTTCTTTTTCGACTAGTAGACAAGTATTGTTTACAAAGTTATCTGACCTGTGAACAAGCACTAAGTAGGTAACAGGACAGTAAACTGAGAGGGTGGACAGGAATAAAAGAAAGTGGGGCAGTGAACTGCTACACAAATCGATAAAGCACGTTCCCCTGAACGATAATCCCTACCTTTTACCTTGTTTAAAAAGCTGCAATTATGGGGAAGCACCGCTCTCCAAAGCAGTTGGTTTACACACTTGTGGAAAACTTTCGGTTTTGTGAAAAAAAACAGACTAGACGCAGCAGAAAGCATTGTTGATGGCCTCTGAACGGGTCGCAATGACGCCCATCGCATCCAATTCACCAGGATTGGACAAATTTGTGGAATTTGGAAAGCCAGTGTCCGAGAAAGCCATTCCATAGGGATGTCACACAACGTCGTCGACATGGAGAACAGCAATGATGCCAAGAGCACACCTCACATTCAACCGCAGGAAGAAATGGTGGCAAAGGCGTTAACAGAGTAGCTTGCAACTCACTCCATCCCAACGGTAGACAGAGGTAACTTGTGTACGTAAACGCAAGATTGTGTGGAGTTATTCAGGGGTTGCAGACGAGCACGTTTTACCAAAACTACCTCGTGACAATACAGGGAAACTTGATGAGACTAAACAATGACGCGAAATACCCATCCATTAACAATAAGAAACCTACAACTGAAATAGCAGGCGAAATGCCCAAAAGGAGGGTCAACGTTTTCTTTCCGAATCCGCTAAAGTGTGCGCTATACTCATAAGTACCTCGCATTAAAGGCACAAACCAGCACACCCACTAAACAATAAAAATGGGCTTAGAAATTAAAGAAACATGTGATGTGAACTTGTGTGCTTTGTTTGAAACATTAAAACCGAAATGAAACCCCGGCGATTTGAAAATGACGCGATTTCACCAGCCAAGGATGCCGTTAGCGACACTCTCAGTCACAGCGAATTGACCAATTCGACTTGTTTGAGAAGACGTTAATCAAATGTCTTGTTACGCTATAAAGCGTGTAACTTAATTTCTGCAGATTTTTCTGCAATTTTATTTCATGCAACAAAATAGGAAACAACGAACTTAATCTTGGGAATATTGCCCATGATTTTTAATTTCTCAAGCAACGTACGGATGCCGTAGCGAAAGAAACTTGCAGGCTTCGAGGCAACATAGTCATCATCGACGAATTTACGCACATCGTCGGACGTCTTGAACTGTTTATACACTAAAGCGTGCTGCTACTGCATTGACCTGAGCAAATGGTAGTCGGAAGGGTGGCAACGTCTGATGAATATGCCGCGCTTGGCAGGACTTCCCATGCCTACTTCCCTGATTAGTAAATGGCCTTTTCTGATCTCTGGCCTCTTCGTTCAGTTTCTTCAAGTGTCGGCTGTGGCGTTTTAAAATCCCCGTCTGGCCAATTTCCAGGAGTTCGTGATAATGCAGCACACCCTTCTTCATGTCCCCCACCACACACCCACACGTACAAATACCTTCTTCAAGTGGATGTCCTGTTTCGACTTCGATGCACTGGGCTGCCCAAGACCTACCCACGACACCCTTTTACGTTTGGAATTCTCGTAACAGAAAATATGCTTCTCATCACCCGCCACAATATTCCACAAGAAGTCCTTTGTTGTTGTTGGTGGGTAAACGATGAAAGGCATGTCTTCATACGTTGACCAAGTTTGTGTTCGGTCAAGACATTTGGCACCCAACTTCCAAGTTTTTGAAGTTTTCCTACTTGGTGGTGCAAACGCCTGAAAATGGCTCTTTGGGTGATTCTAAACTGAGCCGCAAGCTCTTGATGCTTTTGCGTTGAGTCTTCAACCAGCATGACTTGCAGTTTCGCGTCTTAACATTTTCGAGGCTGCAGTACGGTGCGCGGCTGGTCACTACGATGAAGTCCCATATTCGAAAATGTTTGTACCAATAACAACACGTTTCACAGAAGCCACAACGTTGCCACCAAGAACATTACAAATCGATTCCTTTCCGTGCTTTAGAAGCAGCGTGTTGTCGTTACTGGAAATCGTATAGAACGCAGCGCCATCGAATGTGTTGTTTGTCAGTTGCCATCGTCGCACACTCAGCTATTCTGAGGGGTTATGTAACTCACGTGGACTTGTCGTTCGGTGTTCTGAAACCTTGCGTGCGATCCTTTCAAAACCACAAAAGACCGCGAAAATACTCCTTTTGTGAATATAATTTTAAGCTTGAGGAAAGAATCTGCATAAATTAGGTCACACGCCACCACCAACAGTCTTCCCCACGTTTAAGCAACGGCAAAATCTAGTTTGGGACATTCACACTTTGCCTGCATCGGATGACCTTGAAGATCAGTGAAAATAGGAAGTGGCCTAGATAGCAGAGACAGACATTAAAATCATGTGGCTGATACTGTAAAACGCGATATCAGAGACGTCAATGTCGCGTTCACATAAACAGACGTCGCAAAACACCCACTCGGGGCGCCGATCGGACGTCAAATCAACTGGACTTTGATGAGCGTTACACCTGCATGTCAGTAAACAATTCAAATCCTCCTCCTCCTCCTCCACCTCGTCCCCCTCGTATTTCGCAGTCTGAATTTTAACAACGGGGTGAACTGGCCAATCAAAATCAACCGGCTAAATCAATATTCCAACCAATAAAACTATCAGTCCTGAAAACTGGCCGACTTTTTTTAAGGAAAATCGGACAGAATGGGACAACTAAGAGCACTGTGTACGTAAACACGTCAAGCGCAAGATCACCTCAAACAACAGTTGACAACACCGAGGCCGGCTATGTTAAAATCTCACCTCAAATGTTAACCGAGTGCGTGGTGCTGACAGGCTAACAAATGTGTAACGCGTAAACGCATGCCTGTTGCCACTCGGCACTGTGATTATATTTACACGCGCCTCCGCCAATAGCTGAAATTGGGTGACTTAATTGAATGTGGCACGTTGGTTTGAAAGGGCCTCATCAATCTTTCATTCAGTACTACTAAAAGTGGACAAGTCTCTTCGCAAACAGGACCGGTAGCATCAACAAATACGACATTCAACTGGATTTTGGCAAGCGCTACACCGTGACTGATATTTTGGCCTGATAACCAATGACAGCACGTCAATTTGCTGGAATATTGATTAAGCTTATTGCCATCGACAATTCGGTAAATCTTGATTGGTTAGTTCACGCTGTTATTAAAATTCAAAGTGGGAGGCAAAAAAAACGACAAACACCCGTTTCCAATTAGCAACCATCAGCACATTTGTGGGTACTTTACTGTCGTAACACTCGGGATAGATGAGTCATCCTGAACGGCTCTAGTGATTGGCGCATGGACCAGGTCAGTTTTCACGAGGTGCTTCCCAAGTGTACTAGCCGACACGGTGGCCTTTGGTGACATAAAGCGTTGCTATGCTACCTTGTGACTCACCCACGCAATAAATAGACGTTTAAACGCTTCGAAGACCAACGAGAACCAAGATTTCATCCGACCACCGACTCGATGTACACTTCAATATTCACTTCAAGGCGATGGAGTGGATTTACTAACCCCAGTTGAACCAGAAGTAAAAAAATTGTGTTTTCACAGCACACGGAGTTGAGTCGGCATCGCTGTAAAAGCAGCCAAGTGTACACAAGAGACGCTAAGGTCGTAAAAGGACCCATTTTTATGGCCAACGTCGGATGCCAAACCGCCGGTCAAAGTTGCTTTAAGGCTGGGCAAAAACAATCGCAAACAAAGGCTCGTTGTTGAGGCAATACTGTCACCGCGCAGACGTGTTGGTCACGAAAGTAGCGCCACCACCGCCACCTCTTGCTACCAGTCAGCAGGGGGCGGAGTTTTTTGTCAGAAGAACCACCACCGCTGCCAACAGACCCCATGAGATCTAAAAATGATTGGTGGATTTGTGGGGGGACCGCTTTCGGAGTAGAAGAGAACCCCAAAAAAACCGATACGCCAAAAGGTGCAGTGGGGGGAATCGCCAAATTAGGCACACAAGGTGTCACGTGAGTATCCTGGGCAAGGCCACGTGACCCCAACGTTTCAGAGGCGGAAGATTCGTAGAGGAGCAGTCACGTGGCTAGCCGTAGTTTGACGTAAAGGGAACAACACACTCGAGCAGTGAGTGGACGCACACAAAACACTCACCGGCCAACTGATGTAATTGGCGTTGATGTAGTCGGAGCCAGGGACGTTGGGGTCACCGTCGTGCAGGCGGACGTGTGTTGGGTCAAAGGGGAGGATGTTTTTGTATCGATTTTTGTCCAGGTTGTAGGGCTTCGCCCCCTCCGAACGACTCTTGGCTTTCGGCTGCGAATGAAGACACCGAGTTGAGGGAAAAAGTGAAAAATGTAGAAGAAAGCGCAAGCATGGAATGTAGGTGGAGCAACCACAAGGTCAAAGGTAATTTGGGGCCGTGACGTCATCCCTGTTGACTAATCAATACAAGTGGTTGTGTCTACTGAGGTTACCTTCCCCGTCTAGACTGAGATTTGTAATTTCGCAGGGATATATCGAATATTTGGTGGCCGATATTTAAATTTGGGTCAATGAATACTGCTATGGTTGGAACTCGTATTATAAACTCCCAAAATTACAAGATATTGCCTGGGTAGGGTAATGGAGCAAATGAATGACGCAAAAAGGGAGTGCCACAGTATCAAAGAAGGAGGAAAGTTATGCGAGAGAAAGACAACGCGCGTCTAATTCAAACGACATCACGTCTTACCCTGCTCCCTAAACTCAATCTACGTAACGCTAGATACCTTTTTTTGCAAAAGCATACACTGGAAGGCAAGCCAACAACACGGCAGGGTGGCTAAGTGTGCTTACATCTTGGAAGTCCTGATGAAGCTCTTCGAACTCCTCGAGGAAGCCAGCCAGGTGTTTGCCGTTGACGTTTTCTCGCTCGAGTTGGCGTATGCGCTTGTCGATTGTGGAGACGTTGAGACGCGTTGCGTTGAAGGGCTAACGCGGCGGGGGGGAAAAAAATAAAGCCACACTTGAGTCTCACTAGCACAGGTGATTGCGTAATTTGTGGAAGCCCGCGGGCAGTAGCTGGTTTAGGTTCGCAAACCCACCGAGGAATGCGCACAGCATGTCCTAACGCGTGGATCCGCAGCCAGAGCAACGGTGCAATAGCTGTGTTTTCGTCTTGAAGTTAAGAGGGTGTGGAAAGATAAGTGTTCATCAGTCAAGCACGATCATGCAACGCGCAGTGCCGCCGCCGCCGCGGCGATGTGATGTACGAGTAGTTCGTGCGTGGACCACGTGTTTCGTGTCCGAACTCGAATTCCCGACGGTAGATTACGCCTCTGCATAAGTCGGACTGATGTACTGCACGAGACTGCGTATGGTTTCGTAAACATTCGAGCACATTTAAACAAACACGAATCGGCCGATGTTGTAACGCAGTGATGTCACGTCAATAACGATACCGCGTGGAATGATAGCCAGTTCCGACGGAATGCCACGACAAAGGGGGAACGCCAAACATCAAAATCTGTCAATAAACGTCAGGAGGATAGCTTAGGGGAATTAGGCTGCGGTCTGAAAAGCGCAAGTGGACGAAGAATATAAAACCGAGTACACGAAAAAACAACGGACTCTTGTTAAACCCCAATTTTTAACATAAACACACAAATATACTGACTGACCGACTTATATTCCACAAAACTAGCCTCGGTTAAGGGTTTTGGCCACGCAGTACAGTCAAACACCGAAGTGGTAGACACAAACACACTGGAATGTGCAGTCTGAGACACAAAAACGATACAGAGGAGCAATTTCACTTTCATGCAAATACGGTTGATGGGAGCCAGCGCGGTGGTGTCGCGTTGCACGAACGAGGTTTCGCCTAAAACGGCCCGGCAAACAGTAAATCCAGGGGCGCAGCACAGCAAAGGCGGAACACCGAGCAAGCCGCCGGCTTTCAGACACCGAATTCGTGGTGCAAGCACGTGCTTCCCGGGAAAGGCTGCGTTGTGCCGTGTTTTGTTGCCACCGCCGCCCCACCGCATTGTTTGGTCTACGCCCAGGTAAAACGTCTTTAGCATTTTCCCTACGCCAATTCACAACTCTGCTAGCCAATAAACAGCACTCCTAATCGCTACATTGGACATGATTGGGTAAAAAACGCTTTTTTGGTGCCTAACCGTGCTGTATCGCCTTAAGGGTAACAATAAATGGTCGAGAGAAAGACGACCAGGTCCAAAATCGCAGCACTGAAATATGATAGAGCATTTTCAAGCAGAAGGCGATAACGGCGAAGTTTTTTTAACAAACAGGCGAAGTCTTTGCTCCCGTTTCTTTAGGTTGTAACGTTTTTAAAACGCAATGAGAGGCGTTCCCCGAAGTCACGCATAGCACGCCTCAAGAACCAAAACCACAGCACAAAAATCTACCAACGAGAAAGTGACCACTTTGCAACACCGCGTAGCTGCCTTCGGTGAAATCTGCGTTGTGCCCGGTCAGTGCTAACGGAACACAAAATTTGTGGAAAATGCGTCAAATGGGAAACATTGATGGCGCCTTTCAATTCGACCGACTGCTAAACAAAAATTAATTAGACAGGTAGCGAAATGAACAAACACCTGGGGGCAGTCACAAAAGCGACAGCAACTAAGGTTTGGTCAAACGCACGAAGGCATAGGAGTGTAAAAAGGTTAGAGATTGCAACGAATTTAACGGGCTTTCGTATGATGACGTGATTGGCTCAAAAGTGGATGCTATTGATTAGCAATTAGGCTAGCATGATGTACAACTAATCAATCAATATTTTTCATATTTTGGAAATTCCAAAGGACTTAAAACCGGAAGGCTATCATGTATTCTCCAAAAAGTGCATTGCAAGCGAAAAAAACCTAATTTGGGCGCTTTGCGTCGAACACTTGACACTGGATGCCATCACAATCATGGCTCGTGAAAGTACAGAACGTTCTGGGCAATTTACTTCGATAGTCATAAGGAATCGTGATTAATCACGATCGAGAAACAGCAAATACCATCGTACTAAGCCATAGGACAATGAAAAATGAACAAGAAGAAACAAATGTGACGTTTAGAAAGCCAGGAATGGGCCTCCGAAGTGAAAGGTAATATTTCTTATGACACAAAGGTCGGAAAGGTTGCTTTCGAACGTCAGCAAGCAGATCATCACTTAATCTATCAAATGTTTAGTACATTACCTGTGCTGCCAACAAAAGTTTTGACGATGGTTTAAAAATATTTGTGATTTTCGAGAGCAAATCTGACGTCGAACAAATGAAAAGTTAGCCCAATCGCAAATCCCCTACGGCAGTGATTGGACGCTTCCGATCATTAAATTTGACGGAATGCGCAATGGGTTCAAACTGTCAACAGAAACCAATGGCACAAAAACAACTAATTTTCAGTGGTAATCTATCATCGCCCTAAATTTACCTGTCGACAATTGCACAAAAAACAGATCCACAGAGGGGGCCACACATAAGCCTTCGAATTTGCATTGGAAATTTATACTTGAGTTGATTTTCGTACTGCGCGTTTTTTTTTCAAAAAAAAACGTAACATAAATGCGCTTGAAGCTAAATTGCATTCCTTTTATAAAGAGGCTGACAATGACACGGTTAGTGAAAGAGTGTAGGACTTACTAAAATCTAAGTCAGTAATGACATTTCAAAGACTCCGGAGACACAGAAAAGAACTCGCAATAAACAAGTGGCGAAAGCGATGATGCTTCAAACTGACCACTACTTTCATGTTCCCAAAAATCTTTACCTGTTTCAGACAAACGAGTCCCCCATTTTTCTCAACCATTGGAGTAGCGGTGTAGAAATCGATGAGTTCTTTGAGAGTAGAAAACTGATGACCGCCACCAACGTCAAACTTGTTGTCTGGCTTTCGATGGATAAGAATGTGCGATACCTGTTCACCGGTCGCAACAGAGAGGACATATGAATCGGGTTTGTGAATGGACTCCCTAACAAGGAAGCTGCCGTATTTTCCCTTTTCCAGGAGCAACTTTTGAGCTTCCTTGCCAGTTATTCGGCCGTGAAACCACCGTGAACTGAAAGCAATGAACACATTTATATGCCAGTGAAAAATGATCAAGCAGACTTGTAAAAGTTAAAACACCTGACTTCACTTAAAGACAACACCCAACGTCCGCCCTAGTTGACCACTACGAAATTGTTCTCCCATGCTTTAGCTAACATAAGTGACAATCTACAAAAGTAAATCTGAGAATTGTATACAAATATGCAAATCCAAGCTGGTGCTTCATTCATATAACAGTGAAGAAAACTAACCTTTCAGCAATTGGATCTTGGCAGAATAAAGGGTATTTGAGTTCGATGATGGAGCCATTTTTCTCCTTCAGTTGACCTTGATTCTCACGGTAGTGATCAACTAGCTCAGACAGTGTAGCAAACTTTTCTCCACCGTAAAGATCAAGAAAATCTCCGGTGTTTTGAATTCGAATGTGGGTAACACCGTCTTCGCGACGAACAGATAATGTGAAGTTTCCTGGATTACTTCGACTAGGTCTGGCAAGAAAACTCCCTGGTACTCCTTTCTCGAGGAGAAGCTTTTCCGCTTGAATTCCTTCAAGATTATGATGGAACCACCTAAACACTGACTACAAATTAAATGCATACCTTCGTCGTTCAATTACCATTAGTTACAAAGATTTACTTGAACAGTTAACCGAAACCACTATGTTTAATTGAGATCTTCAACAGCTACTGTGCTGGAGATGCGATGTAAGTGGCAACTGACAAAATTCAATAATTTTGAATAATACAAGTCAAGCAATCCGACTTTGGTTGTTAATGCACGACCTGCAAACAGCAATACCATAACTTATTTGCTTTGGTCGAGTATTCAAAACTGTTCGCAAAAGCGATTTAGTTGATTAAACAGATTTTTAACAACCAACGACTCGGCATCTAGACACACTGACGCCGGTATCTCACACCGATACAAATGGTCCTCCCTGACGCTCTGGCCACACTTGCGACCTTAACAAGGTCGCAAACATCATCGACATTCAAATGGAATATGAATAAAACTTCTCTTTCAAAGTCCTAAATATTTACAACGTATCAACTTTTTAAACATTATGTATACAGTTAATAAGCAATTTGTTATAAAAAAGTAGAATTACCATGAATCAGTTGTTAACCTTAAGAACATATTAAGATTTCAATTTTGAACCAAAATGAATTTGCATCTAGACCCGGATATTACAAAAATAAGTTATTAACTTGCACCACAAAAAACCATACAAAATTTATTACGCAATCTCATAATTAAAACTAATACTTGCAGCACAAATACGACATTGTTCAATAGCAACAATATATTTGTCCACTTATTTGCAAAATCAACTAGTAATAAACTGTACGCTTACAGCTGAGTCAAACTTTTCGGAAGCGACCTGTCAGCGAACCTTTCCGCGGTAATCAGAATGCTGTACAAAGAAATTTGATTAGGATTTTAATGGGCTTGGTTTTTTACCAAATTTACATTTTTGGTAAGCCGTCTAAATTCATTAGATACGTGAGAACCTAAACTTTTATAAGTTCATGTCAATTGACATCTGGATGTTAGTTACCCATTAAATCTTTTTGTTCAACCTGGACGTCATATAGCCTTGACGTTTCGGCACCTGTCGTACCGTCTAAGTTTTCGACAACTTTCTTCAAAGCCAGATGCATATTATTTTCGATCCTTCCTAATTCATGTCATTTGTCCCGCCTTGTGAGTGAAATGCAAAAAATAAAGAATTTTTTGGGTGCGAGTTGGCTTTTTTTGGGTGAGATCCTAGGTACTTTCATTTTTATGTCAACATATAAAATTTTCTAATTAAATCAATAGGATTTTGACTGAATACAACTAAAACCAACCCCAGATTTTCCTTCTTACATCTACTGAATCCTTTATTTGTGATAAATTTAGCTTGTGGATGATTTTTTGGTTTCTTAACCCATAACAAGCTTCCGAGACACTTGGCAGCCTATTTCATAGAAGACAACAAATGACTAGAAAGATATTCTTGGAGTGCTATGGTTAGTTTGCATTTAAAATAAAACGTTATTGTTTAAATTTAGAATAATAGATCTATCATGCTGCATACCCTAAAATAACTTTTTAAGGTCAATACAAAATCCAAAACTCAAGGTCCGACTGCACGTATATTTGTGTGGCTGAAACCCGTTTCTGTGACCCGCTAATCCGAAATAATATATTGGCAAAGCCCTTTTCTCTAGAATTGCATTTTGTTTCAAAAAGGAAGCGATATTTTTGATTTTATGGCAGAACTAAACCCCGCTATAAGTAAAACCACATTCAATTTCATGGAAAAATTTTCTGACTTATTTTTTATAATTCAGAGATTCACATTTATGCCGTTATTAGTTTGGGTTTCTTGATGGTTTTAGTACGAGTATGCTAAGAAACTCTGAGAAAAATCGTAGTGGATACGCCTTGGTGAAAAAAAAACGATTTAGGGTGTCATATACTCACGCTAGATGCGGATGATGTTTTTTTTCTTACTGCTTATTAAGTACCTTGAGGTATGAAATAATTAGAATGTGTTCAAATTAATTTTTGAATTTCCCGAAGAACGAAGAACGAATTTAATCTCACATGTAGGTTGTTAAGGTCAATATTTCAGAAGATCGCAAGCTTAATCGTCTCAGTTATGACCGACATTTAAGTTCGACTGCTAATTTGATAAGTTATCGCTTTACATTGTAATAAACGACATTTTAAATTTTCTGAGTTGCAAAATTAGTCTACCGAGGTACTTCAAGTCACTTCTCAAGGTGAGTAAACCTTATAGTAAGCGCAGGTGGCTCATGCATGAAATCCTTTTCATTTGATTGGTTTTCGTCAATATTCAACCTTTTAATGACTCTTATAAGGTATTTGCTATCCACGCTAGTCACATGTCAAGGGTTTGAAGCTGGAGATTTCCACGGCGGTGTGGGCTGCCTGTGCCACTTCATGCAACACAATCTGTCACTTTAACCAAGTGGTAGGTGCGGTCTTGCGTTTGAAGAGGGCCCACAATGCGCGTGGAGCATGGAAACCACGATATCACAGTGCAGTCGTGGTTTGGCAAAAGAAGACCTTGTCGCGTCTTACAACAAGCTGAGGTCCCATTGTAGTGACTAGAGGATTTAGCACTACCTTACAACCCTCTAGTTAACAGACCGTAGCTACCCGAGGATAGGAAAAAGGAGGCGACAGAGAACACGACCGTTTATTAGAGTTGAACCAGCCAAGTGGCTTTGTGTGCGTATGAGCACGCGTGCGTAACAGGCGAATGCTGACAAAAATCAATAACAAAAGAGGATGAGTCATCGCTACACACGGGCCTTCATGCACGCACACTCGCGCGGGGCGGCTGTCAGTCCACTACACCATCTTATCATTTTCGTCCAAAATACAGTATATTTAATGTTGACAAGCGGGCTACACAGTACGCGCTTCAAATGCGGATGCTTGCACCTTTTTATTATGGATTTTTTGAGATTCGATTTAATATTCCATTTAAATGCTCCATTCATAAAACTTTTGCAGAAAATACCACAAATGAGGAGCCAGCGGAATCAGCATGTTGCCACACCAGATGATGTTGGTTTTTAACTGTCCTGCCTGAACTCTGAAACAAATCGTTCTTTACTGATGAAATCTCATAAGCCACATAAAAACACACGTATTCTGATCATTTCGAGGTCACCTTACTGGCCTAATTGTGCATGTTATTAGCAGACTAAGAGGCTTTGAAAAATGACGCCCTGTGTTTTTTTCGGTTGCATTAGCATTTTTTGTCCATATTTCGTCAGTTTTTCACATGAATTTAAATGCCAAAGTCGTTTTAGATTCATTTCAGTCGACATTATTTTCATCATCAGATGGAGGTTTGATGCCTACTGATGTCTGAACATGTCGTCACAACGAATGTTCCAATGAGCACAAAATTTAATAAGAATATGTCTCTTGTTAAAAAGGAGAAACCATAGCATAAACCATTATTTAATTACTAATGCGAACGAAAATAGTGCTTAAATCAAAAATGGATTTTTAATCCCAGCAATGTAATAGCCCAAGAGCGCGGTAATTTTGACACTTGTCAAATTTCCGCTGTGGGTTTATGGTGAGTGTACTTTTTGTTTAAAAAAAATGGAAAGAACTGCCCGCTTCCACAACAATTTCTCAAGGAGACATAGCCGTTGCCACGTTGTGAAGAAACGCGCGCGCTTCACTTAGACAACATCGCAAACAAAGTGCTGAGTGTGATAGAAAGAATCTCGCATGTGGAAAAGACAAATTTTAGTAGGCTTGTTTAAATGTAGCACAAAGCACTGTGTAGGGGTAATTTAAATGACAAAATTGGATGGCATTTGTCTACTTGATTTGACGCAGCCGTTTGTTTTTTTTCGCGTTTCCGGCTTCGTGCATTCAGAACAGAATCGCTCATTTGCGTTCGAGCAGAAAATGTTTAAATATAGTTGGACCAATTCGCGTGGTTTTGTTTAAATCAATAGGATTTTCCTATTTGAATGGTATCAACCTGCTTCGTTGGCGATATACTGTCACACAGAAGCAACGGTGATGCCATTTAACAAAGCAGTACTTTGGTTTTTTGCATTGACTAAGTCGATCAGCTACGGTGGCTGTTCACATGAGTTAAAACACGTGGATCGTGTTTTAAGATCAGGAAATATCACCAAAATCCATTTAATGCACACTTAACGAGGCCAACCAGCTATTATGCTGTGGATTGCGTACATGGCTGCGTAGGAAACTAGCAGGATCATCTCGTAAGACGCGTATACTCCAAATTTTTCGGACAAAATTTGCTCGAGAATAGAGGTTAAACCTATTCCATTTGAATGCAATTAATGTCATTAAAAAGGCATTCTCCAACACATTTTCCACGTAGCCAAAATCCAAAAACTGCCTGCTGAGAAAGCGTTGTTAAAATTTTAAGCCTCCAAATTTATCCCAAGTTATTCATAAAGGTGCACAATGGCAAACTGCTAAGCATAAACTCGTGTTCTTGAAGTACTTGCTCAAAAATCGGGATTTTAATCTGCCCTGGAAGTTTTGACTTCAAAAATACCACTTTTGCACTGATTATTTTTTTTATTATATAAGAATAACGCGAGGCGCTAATCTTCCAATAAATGTCCGCATCTTAGCCACCTCTTGCGTACGCGTAAAAACCGCGACAATGGCATTGAGCTAAATTTTGACGGCCGTCGCTGATCCCTTGGACGTCATAGTTACAGGCGAAATCTTGGCTTACGCTACTAAGATATCACTACGTTTTTATCCAAAACACTACTTGGTGCTCACCTGACACAAAGCTACGATTTTGCGTTAGTTCCTTTACACTTTCAGTTTAAAAATAACCAAATTGTTTTTCATTTTCTCAATGTGGAAAAAGCAACTGACAAGGGAGGCTTGTAGAACAGTAATTGACGTGGCACAGAGCCTAGCCAAACAGCACCTATTTGGCATTGGTAAATTCCGAAATCTTGCGCAGGTTTTCTCGGAATTTCGGAAGCGTCATTAATAGACACACCCATCTTTGATCCATCCATCCATCCATTCCTAGGACATCACAAACTTCCGGAAAACATAAGTTTTTCTCTCAAATGA